TGATCACTTACACCCTTAGTTTGTCATGTGCGCACCTCGGCATGCAGCCGTACGCCGAAGCCTAGGTAACCACACCACGGCCAGGAGGTGTGGGACCTCAGCTAAGACCTGGTTGGTACCCAGCATGTCTTCTTGACATGTAAAACAGTGTTTTGACTTCCAGCATGTTTTTTCGAGATCATTTGCATACATGTAAGACTTGTTTTGAGAAGTACGTTCAGTATACTTTGCCATGTGTTTGTAGGACTTGGACCTTTGCCTTGATCCCGACGTTCGAAGAGCTAAGTGAGTGGTATTTTTAATAAAGTTATGTTATACGTTTTGATAAAAGCTTTGCTTTGCTTTGTTTTGAAAGTATTTGTTAAGCACGAATGATTATCCCTATTTTGTGTATCAAGTGTTAGTCTTGTTTTGGGTGACAACCTTTGAAAGTCTGTACGTGCTAAGGGACTATAAGCACTTGTAGCACATTCTTGAAAGTCCGTACGTGCCAGGGGACAATAAGCTTTTGTGGCACAAGTCCGTACATGCTAGGGGACTATAAGTACTTGTAGCACATTCTTGAAAGTCCGTACGTGCCAGGGGACTATAAGCTTTTGTGGCACAAGTCCGTACGTACTGGGGGACTATAAGCACTTGTAGCACATTCTTGAAAGTCCGTACGTGCCAGGGGACTATAAGCTTTTGTGGCACAAGTCCGTACGTGCTAGGGGACTATAAGCATTTGTAGCACAACCTTGTTAATGTCATTCCTTGTATTATGTAGATGTTATTAACATCCAAAGTAAGTAAGTAAGTTTTGTAAGATCAAGGTTGATGAACTAGATTTATCCCATGTTTTGTACAAGCTATGATATGTATGTTTTGCAGAGATCTCGGTAATCATTCATTTAACCCCTTTATTATTTATACCATTCACTGAGTATCCAAGCTCACCCTCCCCTTATATATATGTAGGTAACAAGCAAGAAGTCGGCTACGCCGAGCTGTGTGTTTTGTATGTATGTTATGTCGGCAGTGAGGATGTCAGCAATCTGGAAGATTATGTTTCTTGACTTGTAGTGCATGTGTTTTGTATATGTCGGCTTGAGAGGCCTTTGATCAAGTTGTAATATGTATTTTTGCTTATGATATATTCAAGATGTAAGACCATGTTAAAGGTGTATGCCATTTCATTTGATCTATGCACTGCTCTTATGGACCACTTGTATTGTAAATTATTGCTTTCGCAATTGTTAGCCCCTTATGTAATACTCTGATTGTGTGTGAATTTTTGAAAGTTGGCCTTCGGTAATCTCGGATTATTGGCCATCACGGCACCATTCTACTAGGGGCGGAATGGGGTCGTGATATTGTTGATTTTTAAACTCTCTCTTAATCACCTTCAAGGTTATGAATTATGATCTTAATCCTTAATTCAAACATCCATCTACTGACATTCATACAGTTATATTAAGTAAGCAAATAACCACATGGTAGGATGCTTAAACATAATTAAGAAAAACACACACAAGTGAGATGCTAAAGCATAAAAACTTACATGTTTACCAACGTCCCGCGAATAGCTACAAAACAAAGTTAGTAAAACATGCATGATCTTATATACAAAATCCTAATGCAATTCACTCAACAGATGCAAGTAAAGATTCGCCTTCTAAGATATGGCATGTGAATCATCTAAAAAACATGAGGTAGCACATATAATTACATAGGAATTGATTAAATCCACAAAATACAAACTTAGCTGAATTAAGATGCATGAAACATGGATGCAAAGCATGGATATAATAAAAAACAAATATGATGCATATTCACAAATAAAGAAAGCAAGTAAAAGAACAAGATAGAAAGAAGCGGGGCGAGAAATTATTATAACACTTGAAAAAATAATTACAAACCAAATTAGAAAGAGATAAGGAGAACATTACAGCAAAATAAAAACCTTACAAAACACTCAAAATAAAATAAACAAAAGAAAAAGTTTCATGTGCTTTGGAAACCATCAGAAGTTGGTCAACATTGGAAGACAATGATGTCTTGTCCAAAAGAAGTTAACCGACAGGCCAACTAGGCCTAGCAAAGCCTGTCATGTTGCAAAACCAAAAAAAGGAATAAATAAGAAATATATTGGTGGCTCAACTAACCACTAACGGTTAGATTAAAACAAGAAAATAAATATAAAATAGAAAGTGCAAAATTACAGCAAAACTAATATGAAACTAAAATAAGAAAACAAATATAATATAAAACATGCAAGAGTACAACAAAACTAATATGAAAATAGCACAAGAAAACAAATATAAGATAGAACATGCATACCAAAAAAAAAAAAAAATATGAAAGAATTGAAAATTTACCTTCCAAAGAAAATATTGAACTTCTTGATTTTCAAACTTCCTCTTGATCACCCTAAAGGTTGTGAATTATGATCTCAATCCTTAATTCAAGAGCTTGGAATTTGAGCTTAGAATGACGGTTTTGAACAAATTTATGATCACTCTTTTTTTGGTAAGAATACTCTTTCCTTGATTAAGGTTTTGAGTGGGTTTGACAAGGGAAGATAAGTTGTAAGAGGGTATGTAACTTCGCTAATTTGGCAAGACAACTCTCTTGTTTTTAAGACTTTCTTTTCTCTCAAATTCTAACACAATTTTAGCATTCTCTCTCTTCCCCCTCTCTTCTTAAAATTTTTATCTCCAAATTCAAGACTAGAGCTCTCATTATATAGCCAATGCAAGTGGGCAATGGTGGTAGACAAAGTGAAGGACAAAGTGGAAGACAAAGTGGGGCATTTAGGGAAGATAATGGAGCTAATGGAGGACAATGTTTAATGGAGGTGAATAATGAATGATGAATGGTGATGGTGGTGTGTGATTTAGGAAAATGGATGATGAGTTGAGATGGTGGGATGTAATTATGAAAGATGGTGAGTGAAGATGATGGGATATGATTATGAAAGTAGATGGTGAGTGGAGATGGTGGGGTGTAATCATGAAAGTAGATGGTGAGTGGGGATGATGGGATATAATTATGGAAGTAGATGGTGAGTGGGGATGGTGGGTTGTAATTATGAAAGTGGGTGGTGAGTGGGGATGGTGGGTTGTGATTATGAAAGTAGATGGTGAGTGGGGATGGTGGGTTATAATTATGAAAGTGGATGGTGAGTGGAGATGGTGAGATGTGATTTATGAGAGTAGATGGTGAGTGTGGATGGTGGGGTGTAATCATGAAAGTAGATGATGAGGGGGAATTGTGTGGTGTAATTATGAAAATGGATAATGAGTGGGGATGGTGTGGTATAAATATGAAAGTAGATAGTGAGAGGGGATGGTGGAGTGTAATTATGAAAGTGGGTGGTGAGTGGAGATGGTGTGATGTGATTATGAAAGTATATGGCGAGTGAGGATGGTGAGTTATAATTATGAAAGTGGATGGTGAGTGAAGAATGGTGAATTTTGGATGAAAAATAATTTTGCCAAAAATGTGTGAATGTTGGGATTAAAGTTCAAATTCTATCTCTCTTACTGAGAATTCTGTGAAAAATACATTCTGATTGTCATCATCAGGTAATCAAAAAAAAGTACCCAAGTCTTAGGCCGGTTAAAATGGGGTGTCTACATACCTATTCTTATTTATATTATTATACAAATAGAAATGTTGAATGATAATTGACGTTAAAAGTCCTAATCTTTTTTTTTTTTCAAAATTTAAAATTGTTAAAATGCATATGTTAGAATATCATTAATTTCTTCCTATTATAAATTTCATTTTAAATCTTTTAAGATTTGTTCAACGACTAATATTCAATTTTTGTAAAAAAATTTCAATATATTCCTTTCAAAAGTTAATATAACAAGTCTACCAAATCATATTTTAAAACTCAAAATTATTAATATTTTTATTTTTGTTTTCAATAAGCATGTTAAATTATAATAGATATCCAAATAAAATTATACTTATTAATAAATATGGCATTAGTTTTAATTGTAATCACATCTTTTTATAGTTGTAATTCATTTTTGATTTTTTTTATATTTTAAATTATATATTACGATAATATTTTCTTACTCATTAAGTGTTTAATTTTTTTTTTAATTATTTCCCTTTCAAAAATCAATATGACAATTTTTTAAAATTCATATATTTTTATTCTAAAATAGTGATGTGTTAGAACTATGTCATTTTTTTTTTATAAGAAAGCACAATTTTAATTATTAATTGTCAATACAATAATTTTAATCTATCTATACTATATATAATAGTAAAGAAACATTTGAAACAAAACTCTTAAATTTATATATAAAATTTGATTTAAGAAAGACAAAATATTATAAAAATATAAAATATATATGTTTTAATTTTAGATTAAAAATATCATATTTAAATTATAATTATTTTATTTTTTCTGTTAAAAAAGTCAAAATAATTAAAAACTCAATCATAAATGAAATTTTTTAATCTCAAATTAAAATAGTCAAAAAATTAAAAAGGCAAAAAAATCAACTCATATTCCAAACTAAACCAAAGAAATAAAAAAGTAAAGCATTATTAGCAGCACTAAAAAAATAAAAAAATTTCTCCACCTTCAAATGACTCGTTTGGGAACAGGTTAATTTAGTAACTTTTTGACTATTTGGCTAAAAAGGTAGGTAAAAAAAATTTATATGTTTGGGATGACTTTTTGACTAATTACGAAAAGATGTGCAATTATTTTATTTTTTTTGTTACAAAAGTCAAAATAATTAAAAACTCCATCATAAATGAAGTTTTTTAGTCTCATATTAAAATAGTCAAAAAATTAAAAAGACAAAAAAATCAACTCATATTCCAAACTAAACCAAAGAAAGAAAAAAGTAAAGCATTATTAGCAGCACTAAAAAAATTAAAAAAAAAATAAATTTCTCCACCTTTAAAATATCCATAAAAAAAAGACTTTTGCACAACATTTCTTCACCCACCGATGAAGAGATTTTTTTTTATAATTTATTTATTTTAGAAGAAGGTAGTGTCTGCGAAGTTTTCCAAAGGCGGGCCCACAACTAGGGTCCTCGTGTCTGGTGGTAGGAGTAGGGGACACGACACGGCGTCTTCTCATCTTCTTCCCTGTATTCGACTGGGTGATTCCAGGCACTTTCCTCGTATCGAAGGAAGGTTCGTAATTCATACTCCTCCGATCAAACAAAAATGGGCAGGTTAAGGAGTCAATTGATTCATTCATTCTACTTTTATTATTTCTATGCAGAGATCACAATCGATCAAAACGACACCTTGTAATCTATCTGGTAAGCTCTCCTCTTATCTCTACTCTCCAACTCAACTAAATTGATTTGCACATACTGTTTGCTGTTTAAGTATCTATTTCTATTTCTATTAAGGTTAAGTTTGGTATATTGTAAAAAAGTTAAAAAGTTAAAAAATTATTCAAAAAGTTAAAAAGTTAACAATATTCACCAAAAGTCAACAATTACGGCTGCACAACTCTCAATCTGCACAACTCTCAATCATAATTTTTCTCTACAAATCAATTTTTACAATTTTTTATTACACATTTTTTCATAAAAAGTTAAAAAGTTAACTCAAATATCCATATTTTTTTCTTCAATTTTTTAATTCAAAAAGACAAAAAGTACACTTATTTAGGACACTCCAAACAACTCCTAAATATGTTTATATACATGTATGTATGCTCGTTTAGGTTCTGGCTCAAATCTTTAATTTTTATCTGCTATTACTTTGGCATCAAACTTATGAAGTTAAAATTTGACATCATCATTTTAATAAAAAATAACAATGTTAAAATTACTGCTATGTTAATGATAAACTGCAAAGAGAGGAAAGTGCCAAGTAGTGGATTAAGGAGGACCTTTTTCACACGCTTATCTTTCCTCATATACAACCAAGATTCCTAATTCAGTCACTTCTTCCATCGAAGAAAGTGTTACCAGTCCACTCATTCTACTTTTGTTTCAGCTCAGATCGGACTGATTGGACGATTTAGGACCTTGTTTCTAGCTAGTAAATTTTCCATTATCTATTCCACTTTATATGCACATACGGCTTGGTATCTAATCATTGGTTAGTATGGATCTATAATAAGTACTAGGCACTAATCAATCGTAGTTCGGATACAATTTCATTGTAAGTTGGGTGGTGGGATTTTGGGGTTTGTCTCCAACCCCAATTTTGGAGTAGATGTATTTTAGTTTTCCCATGCTTGTAATTCTATTTATATATAGTGAGGTGCAGTTATCTCTGTATCTCATTTCACCGACTCTCCAAAACACCACCAGTAAAGTTAGTTTAACAGATGGACCAATATTGAGAATCTAATTAGCTTCTGTTTTTTTTTTTTTGAAAGAATTTAAATAGCTTTTAAGAGCCTATATATGATATATATGAGAATTAAACAATTTCATTGCCTCATGGGCAATCGCTCGCTTCCTCTGCTTCGTATGCATATCTCTTTAGTTCCCCATCTAGCCATTGGTAGCTTCAAGAAGGAAATTCTATATTTAATACTAGCGGTAAACCTGAGCTATGCATGGGATAAAAATAATAAATTTAAGAGTTAATTACTTAAAAGTCCTATTTACAAATGTTATGGTAACTCAGGTCCTATTTAAGATTTTTTGAACCAATAAGTCTTATTTAGTAAAATTGAGAATATTATTAGTTTTTTCAATTTTTAAAACTAAGAACATTATCAACTTTGGATTGTAATGTTCCGCATATTTATTTCACTAACTGATGAAAAAAACTGAGTATGAGATTCATTTTTGCCTTTCTATTTATTGGTTTGATTCAACTATCTAATAAAACCAAGAATATTATCAGTTTTTTTTAGTTTTAAAACTGAGAATATTATCACTTTTTCATTTTATTTTTTTTTCAATTTTGCACATCAATATTCCATCATCATACTAACTTAAAATTTTTATTTTTTGAATTATGAAAAATATTCCTAATATGAAAAATGTAGTGAACTATGTATTCACAGTTAAATTTTGAAAAAATATTTTTTCATTATCACTATACTTACTTACGTTAAGTCTATTTGTGATATTATACATAATATGCTTAACTCAATATAATAATATGACATGTATCATATGGTTAAGATATTCCATACATTTGATTGGTTTCTATTAAAAGTGGACGTTTTATAAGTAAAATAATATAATTGTTTAAGTTGTCTTGAAAATGTGTTAGTGAAAATGTGTTAGATATAATGTTAACTAATGAAATTTATAAATTAAAAAATATTAATCAAATCCAAAACTATGTATTTATCTCATCAATCACACTAAAACAAGTAAAATTACGATACATTATATTAAAGTAATAAAGTAAAAAGTTTTGAAATTTGTTTCTTTGTTATTTATAGTAAAATCATATTGTGCTATAAATAAAATTTATATTTATGAATGAGTTTAATAAAAAATAATTTTAATTTGTAAATACATTTTAAATAATTTTTTAAATTAAAACTCGTGTACGCGCTTATTTCTTAATTTTTATATGCTCGTGCATGGGGTTTAACTTTTTATTCTTAAATTTAGCCCTTTCATAATTGAAAAAAAATCTAAAAACCATGTCATAACAAAGAAATTAAATTTCAGATATTATCATTTCATTACTTTAATATATTCCATTACTTTAATATAATGTCATTTTACTTAGTGAGCTTGGTATTGAGTAATATTATCATTTAGTTATGTTTAATTTAGTACAACTCATATATTTAGTGTAACATTGAAGAATTAAATTTTTTTGGGGGGGTAAAAATTTTGGTTTAAAATTTATTGAGTGGTGTGGGCTCATGGCCAGCAATTGTAATAGTCTTTGAAATCTTGATATCGTAGTTTTGATTTTATAGTATATTATTTTAGGTTTCTTTGCAATTTTCATAAATAAATCAACTTTCTGAATGTGTTTAGCCCATGTGTTGATTCAAGGGTTTTTTTATTTTTATTTTTTTAAGGTCCCTAATATTACAGTTTTTGGAGATAAAGGACACCCGAACTTTCATACTACTTCAGGTCCCTCAAAAACATGTGCCTCTTCCCTCCAAAATTATTGGACCAAAATATCCTTGCTTTTTACATTCAGTCTAACGTCTTTCACTTTTGAAATTTTTCAAAACTTAAAAATTCAATGACTTTTGATTTAGATGTCCATTTTCAACAAAAAAATTTATTTTTGGATTGCTCTCGTCGAGATCTATCAAACAAGATCCATGATGAATATAAATTTAGAAAAAAATAAAAATAAAAATAACAAAATTGACAAAAGATTCTTCGTCGGTCATATTCGGGATTTCCAACATTAGAGTAGAGAACTCGTGCACATAGTCCCGAATAGACTTTGTATTCATAAGATTCTTCATGTTTCTTCTTGCTTGATAGGCCACATCCTCAAGATAAAATTGTTTATTAAGTTCTTTTTTGAAGTCATCCCAAGTTGCTATGGTGCACGTATCTCTTTCCATGTCCGCATGTGTTCAACGCCACCACAGCGTTGCCATGTCAGTGAGGTATAGGATGCCAGTCCTTATCTTCCTTCATCTGTTATGGTCACCGCCTCGAAAGTATCTCTCCATATGCCAGAAGTAGTTATCCATCTCTCTTCCTTTTGAAAGACTTTGGTTTTGGCACCATCACCTGAGTTGTCCACGGCAATGGCATAGCTCCCCTAGCTATAGCCCATTTGCACATTGTCACATCTTGGTGTACCTTCTCCAAGCGGACTTCAAAGCCTTCGAGCATTTTCAACACCTTGGCTTGGAAGGCGTCATTGGCAACTTGATTGTCATGCATCACACTGTTGATGGTGGCTAGCAAACTGTTTTGGAGGTCCTTGATCTCTCCCTTTGAGATCTTCCACCTCGCACTCAAGGCATGGCTCGAACACATGAAGGTGTTCCCTTGAATTGCCCACAACAAGCTCCATTGGCCAGTCGTGCCTCCGCAGTCGCAGCAACATTGCGCCCATCCCTCGACTTGTCCCTCTTTGCCTTTGTGGTGTTGTCCTTCCCACGGACTTGCCCGTCCGCATTTTCCACCATGCTGGATGACATTTTGTTTTTCTTCCCTTGTCACGACTTGCATTGATAACACATATCACGGCCTTGGTTATTTCCAAGCTATCCGTGTAGCACTTACTCACAAGCTAGACAAGTGATGCTAAGTGAACCTTTAACCTTTAGTTCACAAGGGAGAGATAGCACTCACACAAGAAAGTTGAGAGAATGCTTTTGTATTCACTATAGAGAGAACTCTTTCACTTTGGATGGATGTGAGGCAAATGAGCCCTCACCCCTTATATAGGTAACCTAGCCTTCCTAGGAACATTCTAGAGCCCTTATTAATTAGGGTGTGTAGAAGCTTCATGGAGGCTTGTACCACCTTGCAAGAATATTCTAGATCCTACTCGAGAACTATCTAGGTGCATTCTAGAATCATGTACAGCCTTCCACATTCTCTCAAGTCTTCTAGGATATTCCAGAATCTTCCATTAGCCTCTTTGCTTAATCCCTCCTTTTGGTAGGCAATTCTGTCTAGGTAACTTGGTAGGGCGTGACATTACCCTTCGTTTGTTTGGGTGGAAAACATTTTTTACAGAATTTTTTTCCTCTGTTTGGTGGTGGTGGTGGTGGAACAAACATAGAGGTGGAGGTGGTGGCATGGTGGTGGGGTGACCATGGCGGTGATGGCGACAGTGATGGTGGCAATGACTATGGTGATGGTGGTGTGATATTGGTAAAATTCTTATCCGAAAACGTTTTTCGCCTTTTAAAAGTGGAAAACATTTTCTGCCCAAATATGCTTGTTTTTTTCATTGACCATGAAAATTTTTTTTTTTTGTTGAGTTTCGTTTTCGATTAGACCAAACACCAAAAAATACGAATAACATTTTTCAAAAAATGTTTTCCGCCGCACTAAGCTTTGCAATCCAATGGCTCCAGCTGGCACTCGGCATGGTTGGACTTCGGCCCATTAATGATGGGCTTGGAAATGCTTTGTTTGCCGAATGTACAATTTTTATACGCGGCTCACACAGATTGTTCATCATTTGTGATTGTCTATAAAGGAGCATGATGTTGTGACATTTATTTTGATTTTCAAAACTTTAAAACATCAATTTTAAAACTGGAAAAATTGAAAATTTTCTCAATTTTAAAACTGCAAAAAATTGAGAAATTTTTTAGTTTTACGGGATAGTTTCACTAATTGAGAAATTGTCAAATTTCGTACAGCTAGAAAAATAATATTTTATTTTTATAAAATTTTATATTTGATATTGGTCTTGGTAGATCTAAAATGTTTTTTGATAAATCTCATTGTTAGACTCTAAAATATACATTTTATTAAAAATAAGTGTCTATAATAAAAATCATGAAGTTTTTAAGTTTTGAAATAACAAAATAAAAATAATGAGTTAGGAGATGTTATCTAGTGCTCTTAGGGCATGGTCATGTGGTGCCTAGAAGTGCTTGGTGGAGAGGATGTTGCCACAATTTTGTGTTGGGGTATGAAGCATAATGTTTGGTAATTAGTGGATAACATTGTCACGTGGTGCACTTGGAACACTTATAATTTTTCTTAGCACTTAATGAATTGACGCCTTTCAATTCCTTCCATCCTTTTATAAGGGTAAAACAGTCAAATAAATAAAAATCTTTTGAAAATGGGACATTATTGGTTAAAAACAATAAAGCATGACTAAATATATTTTGAGTAATTACCTCATTAATATATTTTCAATAGAGAGTATCTCTTTTATCAAATTCGTGGTTATTCTTTCTGTTTGAGTTTCATCCCATTTTTCTTTCCTGCATCAGTTCTAGAGGACCTAAACAAGAATAGGCAAAGATGGCAGATTTGGACCTATGTTGCTGGAACGTAGATCGTTCTAGTACGTGGAACAAGAACGGGAACGTGTTACGCCACATGTTTTAAAATGTGGTACGATAGGTGTAAATTTGTATATATTATACTTAAGAATTTAAGGTGCGTACCAATACGTAATTTGCTAGGGTATTAGCATTTTCTGGTAACACAAATTTGGACACTATTGAACTGGAAGAGATTGCTCAGGATGGTAAGGTAGAGAATTGTTGTTTATTGGAGCACCGGAGTGCGGGGGTTGTTCCCATCATTGAAATTAGAGTGTAGGACTGAGCTTTCCAAATTATAAAAAGAAAAAAGTGCTTAGAATCGATGAACTATGTGGGAAAATTTACCTTCCTTCTTTGATTTTCAACAAGCATTTTTGGAATGTAACAATTCCATTTAGTTTGATTTTGGAAAACTTGCTGGTCACAGATTAGGTTGTTCTTACTAGGTCCAAGAAAAGGACCATGGATGATTCCTACCTATGAAGCACGTGTACGGGTACATCGACACGGTAAATTTTTTAAAAAAAAGTATGCTACGGGTAGGGCTAGGGCTAGGTCCAGTAAAATGTAAGAAGAAAATAAATAAAGTCCAATGAAATTAATTTTACTTTTGTATTAGAAGAAAATACTGTTTTGATTGAAGTACAGTATGACTTAGACATATATTAGGTATGTTTGGGTATGTCAAAAAGTAAGAAGAAAATTTGGTACATGTTTTGTGTACCTAGTACGTATAGAGAAGTACTATATGAAGCACCAGTACCCGGTAAGTAACCGGTACGGATAGGGCATGTTTGTCGAAGTATTCATGCATGCTTCGTAGATTCCTACTGATGATGTGCCGAGAAGTACATTGTTGGAACTGGCTTGGAACGCTTTTAAGGCCATAAGCTATAGATTTGGTGGTTCCATTATAGCAGAACATGAGAAAGATAATTTTTTAACAGGAAAATATCGTTTTATCAGGTAATGGAGGCTATGGGTATAATTTTCCTTTGAAATCTTATTGAGAGAAAGTAGAAATTATTGATTAATAATTATGATAGCATAAAAGATGACTTGGGTTGAAAGCACCTTCAAGGTTAAAAGGGCCACTGGTGCTGCAGATAAGGATTCTAAAGCATTATTATTCACTACTTTAGTTGCCTTAAAAAGGATGTTATGACAAACATGAGCCAAAACTCTATCGTCTGGACCCTTTTCACTTCTTAAATCGTTGGGCCAATTCAAACAACGCGTGCATTCAGAGACTCCAAAGTCATACACTCTCACTTGCTCAAAATTAGGAGCCAAAGTGGACCGAGAAGAAAGAAGGAAGACGTTTTTTTGGCACCTGAATCAAATCGGATCATTTGTCAGGCTATTGTTCCCTTGTTCCCTCAAAGTTACGGAGTCAGACATCGATTTCCTCTTGCTCTTAGCTTGAGAAGAGGTATATCATCTTTTTATCTTCTATCTAATAATGCCCTGATTTACGGGGATTGTTTTTGAAAATAACTAATAATAATAATAATAATAATAATAATACCTTCAATAAAAATCTAAGGGATTGAGACTTGGATGATGGATTGTCTCATAAAATCTCATGAGAATGCCAGCAAATTTACTCACTCTGATATCTTGTTCTAGTCGCAAGATGAAGATTTAGATTATTTGTGATATTTCACCGACAAAGTACAACAACCATCTTGAATATGGCTTTTAAGGGCCTGTTTGGTATCATTTTTGTTTTTTATTTTTTGTTTTCATTTTTGGGAACATATAAAATGTGTTTACTGAACTATTTCTAAAAATGTCATAGAAAAAGGGAAAAAAAAAAAAAAAATCTGAAAACAATCCTATCTTTGGAAACACAAAATTTAAAGTTGTTTTTGAATTTTTGAAAACTTTTTTTGGGTCAAAAATGAAAATGATAGGGCTTTTTTTTTGAACTTTTCATTATTTTTGTTTCAAAACAGGCTCTAAATGTTTCCAATACTGAAAGGGTGAATAAATCACTTAGGTTGCTTTTTGAAGGCAAAGTTTCACATGCTAAATGTTGAATCAAAGAATGTAAGTTTTGATTATCAGCCAACGTCATTATAGTTTTAAAAGAATGATGAAAGAATGTTGTTATCCAAAGAATGACTTTTCCACCTAACTAATGGAAAGCATGACAGATTGTGGAACCAATTGATTATTAAAAGCTTTTTTCTGTTTCATTTTACGTCATAATAATATTCCCCAATTAATGGCATGATGGTAAGTGCTCTCTGCCCCTAGCCTTACGGTTCTGGTTTCAAGGTACAAGTATCAGTTTCTCCACAAAAAATAAAAATGAAAAATGAAAAAAGATTGTCTTCCCACTTCCTCTCCCAAATCATGTTGTAAATGGGAGTCTTGTGCACCGAGTCCAACCTTTTATACTATTCCATGATGGCTAATGACATTTGGAGGAAAGGAGTCTCTTTCTAGTGTTTTTGTTACTTTTTCTCATTTCTCCCAGGCCTATGGTGGTTTGGGCATTGACTTTTTTAGTGACTTTTTGATTTTTTTTTTATGAAAATACGTGTAGAAAAGGTAGAGGGAAGGGATTGACTTTTTGTAGTGGCTTTTTGGCTATTTTGTTAAGTTGCCAAACCACCAGTGTCTGAAAGTGATATCCCTGATTAAATGGTCATTTAGGTGTTTGCCCATTTAAATTTAAGACTAGCTATAAAGTTGATCTATGAATGAAAAATAAGTATTTCTTGATTAATAGGAATCTAATACTTTTGAAGAAAAGTAAGACAATGCTTTCTACCCTTATGAATTCAACTGTTACTGGTTCAATCTATTATTACACTACAATATTTGTCTTTTATCCAAATGAATTCTGATGCAGGGAAAAAAATGTTTCTAGGGGTAAAATTAATATATGTTCTATAATATTCTAAATATGTAATTGTCGAACAAGAAAATAGAGTATAAGAATTGACCAGGACTTGGTGGGTGACATCGACTACCTTAAGTAGGCAGCATATTTGATTTTGGCACATTGGAATTCATTTTTATAACAACTTCTTAGTGTTTTGTTTGGAACAGGGTACTAGATTGCTTCTTATGTAAACATGGCGCGGAGTGGTGGAAAAGATTTTGTTTCTATGAATATTTATGAAATGCTTAAAGTTTTCTCACATCCACCAACGGAGTCTTGTATATTTAGATTACATGAAGAACTACGTCAGATAAACGACAAGGCCTATGACCCAGAGATTATTTCAATAGGTCCTTACCACCGTGGTAAACAAAACCTACAGATGATGGAGCGGCACAAGTTACGCTATTTTCATTCACTTCTTCAAGAAAAAAATCAGAGTCCAAAAAAATATGTCGATGCTATTAGAGAACTAGAACAAAAAGCACGTCAATTTTATGCTGAACCTATAAGCCTTGATTCAGATGAAATGATCACAATGATGGTACTGGACGGCTGCTTTATCATTCAATTGTTGCGGAAGTTTGATATGGAATTCTTGAGAGATGAGAATGATCCTATTTTTAAAAGGGACTGGATTTTTAATAGGTTGCAGCGCGATTTAATGTTATTTGAAAACCAAATTCCGTTCTTTATACTGTGCAAGTTATTTGATATGATCGAGGCACCAAACAACCATAACAGGCTCATTTATTTGGCCTTGAGATTTTTTAGTGATCTTTTACCAGGTACTGGTAAAAGGGAAGATGGAAAAGAGTCACAGGGTAAGATCAGTCATTTACTAGGGTTGATACACAGTAACTGGCGCCCGTCATTTGCAGGGGTGGAGCCTGTTGAAGATGCCTCGAATAAAAAAGGAAAAGGGTACTGGCGATTCATTCCTAATACAAGAGAGCTCCAAGAAGCTGGAGTTAAGATTGAGAAGTTTGAGGTTACAGGAGGTAGCTTGTTTGATATCGAGTTCAAAAGTGGGGTAATGCAGATTCCACCTTTAACCATTGAAGGCAGGACAGAGTCATTCTTCAGAAACCTCATTGCATACGAGCAATATAGTCTTGATAACCAATTCAGTTATGTCGCTGATTATGTGAAATTTTTAGATTTCCTCATTGACTCTCCGAAGGATGTCAAAATACTTTCTCGTCGTGGTATCATTGATAATTGGCTGGGTGATGATGAAGCGGTTTCCAACTTATTTAACAAGATTAGTGACACAGTCTCAGGGACGAGCATGCATTTTCAGTATGCTGATATCTTCAACAGGGTGAACATCCATTGCAGCCAGCCCTGGAATCTGTACAGGGCAAGTTTGAACCGGAACTATTTAAATAACCCGTGGGGAAGGATTTCAATTCTGGCTGCTTCGGTATTACTTCTACTCACTTTGACACAAACTCTATTTACAGTTTTTGGTAGGAAATTGTAATTGTTGGAGCAACAAAATAGACGGTCACAACTTCTTGGTGAGAGTATCGGTGTGCTCTTCTTTATCGTCTTTAAACTCTCCGTTTGTAATTACTTTGACAATATTCATACATATATGTATAATATATGTGTACGTTTGCTTTGGATATTGATTTGCTCTTTGGTGGATAGTTCTCTTCCCCCTTTTTTTTTTTTTTTTTTTTTTTTTTTTTTTTTGAATGTGTCTGCTTTATATATTGATTTGCTTAAGTGGAAATTGTAAATGTTATTTGTCCACATCGCCTACAACAGCGACAGCGGTGCTACAGGAGGGGAGCAGTTGTGCTGCTGTTGCAGGTTGTGCTGCTGTTGCAGTAGGTGCTATCACTGTTGTGTGCTGCTGTTGCAGTAGGTGCTATCACTGTTGTCGGTGATGTGAAAAAATAACAATTTGTCATGTGGCAACGGGCCCACCAAACTTGATACCACGACTCTAACGTTAGATAACTCTGTCAAGCCGACTTTCCAACTTCATTATTGATTTTTCCCCTTCTCTAACTCTTTTCCTTTCTCTCTCTTTCGTTTTCCATTCTATCTTTTTTCTTTTTTTTGTTTTTCACTTCTCTCCTTCCTGCCATTCCTGACAGAGCTTTCTTCTTGCAGAGCTAAACTGTAAGACTCTATTTTTGTTGTATTTTATTTAAACTCTACATGGAACCATATTGTATATATATATATATATTATTGCAAATTGGGTTGGGTTTCGGACCTGGGTTTGTGTGCCCTATGGTGACATGGCTTATGACCTATTACGTGACTGTTGGTTTGAATTTCAAACCACCTTATCTTGGGGATAAGAGTGAATAACTCACAATTTCATCTTCTGTATTGGTAAAGTTGTGGGTAGTTACATCACTTTTTTTATAAACACTAATACGTATTACGTATTGATTTATGAGTTTTGACCGAATAGTTTTCTGCAAAAGACACTCTAATTCTCTGCCATTGAAGAACAACCATGCCTTTGTATTGTGAAGAGTGTGGGCAGTCCTATTAGTAGTTCTATCCCACTGGTGGGAATTGTTCGAAGACATCAATGGAGGTGCGTGATTCACCCACATGATCTATGAATTTGGTTTGTGCATAAAAGGTATGCTCGAATCCGTTTATTTCCGCTATGTATTATTTCTTATTTTTCCTACATTGGTATCAAAGCCATTGTTGGATATTTCCGTGTTATTTGTGCATAAATATATGTAAACATGTGATTTATGCATGAAAATTGGTGTTTTTCGAACCATCTCTGATCGTCCTAAATTTCATATATATATTGTGGTGCATGTAATTTAAATTGTATCTACAAAGTTTTGAAAAAATCAGACAATTGGATTTTGAAAAAAATGGAGACCCATATTTAATTTTTGTAACTTTGACTACATGTTTTTACATGCTTCATTTTCACAATGTGAAATTTATATATTTGGAGTCCTTGTTTCAAGACCTTCGAAATGGTATATTACGAGCTTGATTTCGACTTACGGCTGAGAAGGAAACTTAGACCTTAGTTGTGGGTAAAAGTTGAAGCCATGGGTAGGAGTGTAAAATTGGCTCGTGGCTTGTGGGCGACTCGAAGCCCGCTCGAGGCTCGGGATGGGCCCTGCCCGTTTAAGCCTGTTTAGGCCCGGGCTCAAGCCCAGCTCTAGGCCTTGAGCCTGGGCCATTGTTTTGAAGCCTGACCCAGCCCGTGGGCCTGACCCCCTTGGCCCAGCTAGTGGCCTCGCCCATCAACCCACTCAAGGCCCACTCAAAAGCCCGGTCTGAGGCCGGCCTGGTCTGCCCGAGATCCAGCGTTATTTTTAATGGAAAATAATAAATTTTGGCTGAAAAAATTTAAAAAAATTGTTTAGATCCGCCCAAAGCCTGAGCCTAGGCCCAGGCCCGGCCCACTAGCCCGCCCAAAGTTTGAATACCCCTGGGCCTAGTTTTCTGGCCTGCGAGTCGGCCCAGCCCGACTCAATTTTTGGCGGGAGCCCACAAGGCTCGACATGGGATGGGTCGGGCTGGGCCAGGCCGGGCCAAAATTACACTCCTAGCCATAGGAGGCTTGATAGAGAAAATGAAGTGCAGAAATCTGTATCACCACTCTTAATCAAGAGAGAGTGTTGGACACTCCCTCATTTAGAGTTGTTGAACGCAAAAATCGAGACCACCATTGGATTCCTCTAGTAGTGCCAAAATTGAGCCAAAATTTAGTTTAGAAGGCGGTGGGTGTTTATCATGCGCAAAGAGTTGCGTCACGTGCTTATGCGACAGTCTGACGCGTGTTGATGCAGAAAGTAGCGTGACGCGTTGGCTGACCCGTTGAGCGGGCGATAACACGTGCTAACGCGTTGATGGACAATTGGTGTCACATGTGACAGGCACGTCAGCTGATTGAGCGCGATGACGTCATCATTAACGCAAGCTGATGACGTCATCTGCCTAACCTAAGCACTAATGCAGGCGTTGTTAAGGCTCTATTTGTTTCTTCTTCTTCTTCTTCTTCTTCTTTCTTTCTTTCTTTCTTTCTTCTTTTTTTTTTTTTAAAAAAAAAATTTAATGTAAAAACTAAATTAATTGATTCTATATTATTCTTTATAATTCTGATTGAAGCATGGCTTATATCGTTGGACTTGTAATTCATTTTTCTACAATATGTTAAAGTTTCAGAATTTTCTGGAAAATAAAATAATTTTTATTAATGAATAATTCAATATTTTTACATTAAATCGCTCTTGGAGGAGCATGACTGGGATTCTGAACTTGAAATTTTTACAGTAGACTATTGTGATGTACACATATTTACTGGTATAATTGTTGTATTTTTTCAGATTCTATAATATTTATTTTTTATTTTTCTGTTTAATTATTAATTACTTGTAATTCTAGAAAATTCAAAAAATTGTAGAAATTATATAAATCTGTTATCGCATTATTTATATAGTGTACACAACATGTTAAGTTGTTTTAAATACTTAGAACTTGTAGTATGTTATTATTTTAAATAGCATGATTTATTTATATTGGTGAATTTTAATTTCATGTTAATTAATGTATCATGTTTTTACTTTTATGAAATCACATTGAGATGCTATTATATGGAATTAATATTTTATCATACTTTATACATGTCATAATTAGTGGGAGGTTGTTCGGTTGAGAGAAATCTTTGTAGATTTACTCCCGAAAACTAATATTTTGCACATGAATTAAATAAAATTTTAGATAATTGTCACTTGCGACACAAGAGATGATTACGAGCATAGCGGATTTTCGATCTTGCAACTTGTGTAATATTATCACTATTTAATTTAGATTTTTGCGGCAAAATTATATTGTGATATGCTAATCAAATTAATCTTAATGCGAATTTCTCCTTTAATTGACTTAGCTTATGAAAGTTAATTTGGTTGACCTAGACTTAGAAGAGATGTTCAATTGTGATAATGAAATCTTATTCTTTAGACGAGTAGAAAATCTTGGAGACTTTAGGTCAGATTTTAATTGAGCCAGAGTAAGGAAACACGATTCAATATCGCCGTGGTTTATGTTGCCTTGATTGGCACAATAAAAACTGATGTTTGCGCTACGATTAGTGACATGCTACGCAGTTTTGATTATCAAGTTTGGAGTTGTGAGATTAGTAAGCCCTCAATAGATCTAGATGTAATCCTAACTATTGAGCTGTACGGATTGACTTTGTAATTTGACTTTTAATAATGTGGCATCATTGGATGAAACAATATCCAAGAATCACATTAACCAAGATATGAGAGCTTAAATGAGTTAGTCATTAAGTGTAAGATGAGTAGCCAGTATGAGTAGTGTTTTGCTCTCTACCCAGCTGATGGGAGTGGATAAAACAAAATTTCATGCACTATGATAGTGTGAGTTGAAATGTCACTTGAAGTTAAAAGATTAGCGCTTAGAAACTGCAAAATGTATTAACATTAAGTAAGAAGATTAGCGCCTAGTGGCTGCAAAATCCATTAGCACTGCCAACTTGTCTAAGTCTAGACATTTACTGTTTTCACACTTGAGTATGAAACATGAGGAGGTGTTTCTTTGTTTGATTTCTTAGCTAGGCTAACGTCTTTGAATATCATTTATCACTAAGCGTAAAAGTTACAACATAGTAATAAAAGGTCAAGGCCAAGTTGGTTGTTATGATTCTATGAATTTGATGAGTCGCTCATGAGAGCATTGTGTTGAATTAGACTCTTTAACTTGATTCGCGCTTAAGTTGCTTCAGGAATAGTCATAGATTAGTAGCATATTCTCTCATTGTGGATAGTAAAATTAGGAGCAACTAACTATGAAGCGAGAAATAGAGATGGCAAGAGAAGTATCATCATGTCTCAACTAGATGTAGTAAAGTGTATGGAGAATAAAATTGACTTGAAGATGCAGGAGATTAGCACTTACTAGTCAAATTTGCGACTTAGGTGCACTTAATATCTTCATGACATCTTTTTATAATCTAGTGAACATGAGTTAGTCATGAGTCATTGCTTAGTTGGACCTAAACCTTTACACTTGTCTTCAAGAAACTCACACATTAGGATGATTGGAATTAGTTTATGACATTGGTTATGAATCGGTGGCTTATTGGACTTAATCACATTGACAAAAGGATGACATGGATGGTTTGAGTAGGCCCACTAGCTTGCGGCATCTTGCTCTCATGTGAATGTGCAATTTTGTTTGCAAAGGGCATTTGTATTGGTACATTTGGTCACATAAAGTTTTCTTAGCAGGGGTGATGTGAATAGAGTTTTGGAACTCTAGAAGATAGAGAATTCCAAGTATGGCACTTTATGTAGCCTAGTTGAGAATGGAAAAAAATTTCCAATATCCTAGGGACAGTGGGAATGACATGCATACTAGTGGATTACTCCATTAGAGATGAATACTCTAATTTTTTAGTTGCATGGTAGGGAATGTGAAAATTTTCCATGTCATCACTGGGTGATTGAGAATGAAACATTCATGATTGCTCCACAAGATAATAAAGAGCCTAGGATAGTGCCAAAGGCTCTCTAGTCCCCTATTTTTGGAAAGTGGATCAATATTGCGCATTTTTAAGACTAAATCTTTGAGGAATAATCATTTCTAAGATTTGGTTAGCTT